AAAGAGTTGACATGCTGAAAACCCAACCCCTGCAGGGGGGTCTGGGGGGATTGTCCCCGAGGAGATTTTTTGAAATACTAACATAAAATACACATTCTGGTACTCTCTTGATAAGAAAAATAAATAAATCTATTACTACACGACATATTTAAAAAAAATGAATGCCATTTTAGTTTTTCGTTACTTTGTTCTGAAAGCTGAAGAGGGAAGAGGCTGTGTGAATTACTTTACATTGTGGATAAGGGTGGATAGCCCCCATTGTTCTGTGTGTCACAATGAAAGACAGCCCACACACCTCATCAAACCGTGGGGTCTTATTTCATTACGTGTTGATTTCTATCAACACGTAATGTTGTATCGATGTATAGAGATGTACTACAGCAAAAGTATTTTCCGTCGGGACTTCCTGCAACAACACGACGCCGTTATCGTGATTCTGATTGGCCAGAAGACATTATCAAAGATGTTCTATTAAGAAGACGATCACTACGTGACAAAAGTTTTCAAAACCGTTTCTAGTCTTCGGTATTCTTGTTTTTGGCGTGAGAATAGTTTGGGCAGCGTGAGAGCGTGAGATTGAGAGTGAAAGCGTGTGTCACACGCCAGATGCGTGAGAGTTGGCAACCCTGTTATCATGAAGTTATTATTTTATTACATGAAGTAAACCAAAATGTTAAACAGTAACCAAACATGATGGTAAGTATTTCGTGAAACATTTGAAGAGTAGCCTACTGCGCCCTCCACCGGGTGCTAAGCAAGCAGTTCAGGGAGAGTCGAAGGCAGGCATGGAGCTTTGCATATCATTCTTCTGGACGTGTTTCATTGTGATGACAGTGAGGGTGAGTCAATCTGTTTGTTGGAAAGACAGTCGTTGTGTGCTTATTGAGAGAAAATTGTTAGAAGAGATAATTATTCAAAGTGTTGTTACTTTAAAGCAGTGGTCCCCAAACTAAGGCCCGCGGGCCGGGTACGGCCCGCCTCCACATTTGGCCCGGCCCCCTGAACAATACCAGAGACGCATTATGATTTTTTTAATTTTTTTAATTAAATTTTTATTTTTTCAGTCTGGCCACGCGAATCCTAGACTAGCCCCTGTCAAAATGTTGTGACCTGCTCTATCTAAATCAGTCGCATTGACCCGAAGACACCTTTTGAGTTGTATACACTGTTGGAAAGAGGATATTCCTAGCTTTCTAATGATATCAGGATTGTTTTTGTACTTCAAATATTAAGCGAAATATGTCACATTATATAATGACTGTCACCGAGTCATCATTTTGAGAAAAAGGCCTTCAAAGTTGTCTCTTCTCTGGAATCCATCGATCTGATTGATTATTAGCGGAGCAAATTATCAAAATACTACCGAGGGAAGATATTTTTGTTTGGAGGGGAAGCTCGCGAGTGTGTGTGTATACGTGTGTGTGTGTGAGTGTGTGTGCTTGTGTAATTTTGCGTTTGTGTGTATTGTGTTTGTTTCCCGGGGAAAACAATCACGAGAAACACCGGCTGTTGTTATGCCTGCTGTGACGTTAAGCTACTCCGTTCTCCGCTTGTAATTATGCCGAAGCTTCAAAGTTGTATTTATCATCTGAATTTGCCGAAACAAGTTTAATATTCTGAAAGCCAAGACTTTGTTTAATTGAAATCAGATGAAAACAAACTGTAACGGACCCTGCAGTGTTATCTATGATTACTATACTCTTACATTCATAATTTCAGCGGAGTGAGGGGGGGGCGGCGCTGCGGAAGAGCAGATTGCGAGTGAGAAATAAATAAATTGGAAATAAAAGTTTCATATTCTGAAAGCCAAGACTTTGTTTGTTTAAAATCAAACAAAACACCCGAACCCCGAAAAAATAGTTTTTTTTACGTAAATCCACGTTTATTGTGAGAGATTCTGCTCTGACAACTAAGCTAAACTTTTACCTGTTAAGATTGTGCACGGCACAACAGAAAGTTACAGTAATTTTCAATGGACTTTTTTTCTGTGAAGAACCCAGAGAGGGTTATTTGGTTATTATTTATTTTATAAATAGTGTTATTTATTTCATTAATAGTGTTATTATTTATTTCCTGACTTTTTTTCTGTGAAGATCCCGGAAAGGGTTATTAATATTTGGTTATGTGTGGCTTTCTAGAAAACAATAAATGTTTACGTTTAGACACCTATGCGATCGTCACACTTTTTCTGTTACAAACTGACCCGGCCCCCATCAGAGAAGGGAAAAGTTATGTGGCCCTCACAGGAAAAAGTTTGGGGACCCCTGCTTTAAAGTGTTGTTACTGACCTTTTTCTCTTTTATTTTCTTTACCTCACCTGTAACTGCTGAGACGTTGAGGAACATGCACACTGACCTGCTCTGGCAACCTGATTTCCACTGTACGTAATAGTATTTGGTTATGGTATATTATTTATATACATCAAAGGCACAATGCACCCCCCCAGAGACACACATGTATTGAGTGTGATATTTTGCATAGGTCATGTGAAATCATCTTTACATACTAGAAAACTGTAGGAGCGGCAACTTGTTTTGAAATAGAACTTTTAATATCCGATAATAAAGTTGATCTGTTTTCTTTATTCTTCTCTCTTCCCAGCTCCATCCATCACCATTCTCTGTCCCTGCAGGTCCTGCTTGCTAATCAATGCTCATATTTTTTTACACAATTACAAATAAAGTCATTGTATTGTATGACACGAAGTTGTGCTTCATTCGGAGTCAATAATAAATTAATTCTGCCTTCAACTGCACAATGATTGTGGACTGCACCGACATCCATGTAGCTGCCCCCCAGTAAGATGAACCAAGCAAAGAGGGTCACCATCATGCCCAAGGACATCCAGCTGGCCAGCCGCATCCGCGGAGAGGGCTTAGACTGACCTGAGACCAGCACACCCAAACACAACGGCTCTTTTAAGAGCCACCTACAGTTTCAAAGAGTTGCAATCCTACGTTATTATAATGATTAAACTGGTTCATGTATCACTTAGTTTACTGAACCGTGATGAATGAAAGAAATTAGTGAGGTAGTGGTTTACTGAAGTTACAAAGAAATTAATATATGAGTAACAGGTCAGTGTAAACACAAGCTTCTGTCAATTCTGGATCATTCAAACTATTTATATAAAAATATGTAATAAAGTTCTAAAACAAGTATTCGGTATATTCCTTGATAGCTTTTGGAGAAGGTTGTTTTTAAGTTTACTAAAATCTATCATTTCAACTGTTTCACTTTATAAAAAGGGAACAGGTGAGTAGAGCATCATTGAGTTTATTATTCTGTCAGTAAATTATCCAAATGAAATGTTTTTCATTATTTTAGTCAACCCTAAACAAATTGATTGTACCTTTTAATAATGACCTTACATGGTCGGCAAAGTTAAATTAACTTCAGAAAATCAAATCTGTTCTGAGAAAAAACTAATAAATGTTTAAAGATAGGAACTTGCCATCCCACTGAAAAACAGTCCGTAGAGATTTAAAGGCGTAGTTGTAGTTCAGTCCAACGTTTCATTTGGATTCATTTGACAACAGTCAACTATTTTCATAAAGAATATATATATTTTTCAAAGTCAACTTTATTGTCAATCTTACTCAGTTTGTGTTTATAGACAGAGATCAAAAAGACGTTTAAATACAATTATACAATTTATAGATATGTATACAAATATATATATCCTATATACACCATCATGTATAATGATGGTGTATGATGTAGAAGGAAGTGTGGTAGATAACAAGTAAATATAGAGTTACATACAGATCCATGTTACAGCAAAAGATGGAATAACTAAGAAGCACGGAGTATAATAATAATTACATGCAACAATGAAATAACTGCTCAGCATCTCTCCAATCTGCTGTGTCCTGTTTTCCTCCCCTCTGCATAACACCCCATCACACATACGAAACACAACGCAGAGTCCGAGGGTGTTAAGAGTATGTTTATTGAAATGTCCTCCTCTCTACTGGCCAACACAGGGAGCATATGCTGGGTGTAGAATTTGTCCAGGAGGAGGAGATTTCCATGCCATGCAGGGTCTTCGGGGATGGGGATGATGATCGACTCCTTCGTGGTCCACACAACAAAGTAGCAGAGACTCCGGTCTGTGATATGCAGCTGGTGCCAGTATGGGTGATTCTCCTTGAGAATATATGACCCACCCTCCTCACGGAGAGAGAAGGATGGTAACTGGACTGCCTCCGCGATGGTCATGTTCCTCTGTGTGGACACTTCACCTCCAGCAGGGCAGATGGCTGCACAAGTCCATCGGGTGATGCTCCCAAAACACCCGACTCACTCACAAAGAGACCAGACTCGATTCGAACACTGTCACTTGATAGGCCTTGTTAGAGATTTAAAGGGATATCTGGTCCGCCATATTGAGGGCTGTTCCAAACCAACGAGTGTGGAGCGGTGTGGAGGGGGAGTGGGCTATCAAGCCCTCAAACAACGAGTCTGCAGCGGTGCTGACTTGAGACCGGTCTCTACCTGACCGGTCTCAATGCTGTGTGTGTCCGTCAGGAAACAAGCTGTTTACAAGTAGTTCCAGCAAACATCCACTGATAAACTGCGATGTTAACAACCTCATGATAACCTCATATGTTTTTAACTTAGGATCGTACCTGTGTTTATTCTAGAAAAGGGTAAATGTGTGCATTTTATTATAAAGTTGTGTATATTTACAGACTGTTGCAAAAACTAAGAAGCTTATAAACATCAGGTTTAAAACTAAAAGAGCTTTACAAAAAAGTAACACAATGAAAGATGTTTGGAGTTTTATTTGAGTTATTAATTTACATTTTTGTCTAAGAGATGCTGATTTGAAACCGTTGTTACATACAGTTACGGCATTTCCTGTTTCTGCCGGAGAGAGGGGAGGCCGTCCCAAAGCTTGCTGCTGTATTTACTCCCTCCATCTGACAGGAGGGAGCCTCGTTGAGCTGCGAGTGTGGCTACAGACGGAGTTCACTCCGTCACGGAGGGGTAGGGTCGAGGGAGTGGTTTGGGATTGGGCCTACATGTGCTGTATGATGTAAATCTCGTCAATTCGCTTTTAACGGTAGTGCCTCTCAGCCACCGTAGTGTCGTGTCGTGTAGTGTTGTGTACTGTCCGCCGTCGCAGCAAGACCCTTCTCGGTTTTATCCAGTTCTATGTAATCACAATATTAGTAACCTCGCACATTTCCTCCCGCGGTACCTCAGGGCTACGTTTGAGTGGTGTTTTCCTGACATTCTTGAACAATGTCTCACTCTCAGTGGTCGCAAAAGATAGTCCAGCTGCTCCGCCGAATGAATAACTTTTATTCACCAGGTAAGTTACACCAGAGACACCGAGTTAAACATGCAGTGGACGGTATGAACGGGTTTTAAAGTCGCCCCTTCCACCTCCCCGCAGGCTCCTGTCGTGCTAGCTGCTTTCGGTTTGAGATAAATGGAGCTCAGGTTGGCTGGATTCCTCCTCAGATCGCCCCGCTGTTGAGCCGGTTTCCGGATGTGTTCAGTTCGCCAGACGAGGGCGCTGTGTCCCTGCGACCCAGCCTGGACTCCCCCGGGAGGAGGACTGAGGCTGTGGACGCTGTCCTGCGGACCCTGAGACAAGAGGGCACCTTCAGCTGCCTCAAGGGATGGAGAGACGAGGTGAGACCATACAGTGAGACACACACTGTTATGATAGGTCCACCGCTTAGAGATGTCTCATGTAAATGTATGTGTTACCGCGCTAACCAATAGAAGCGCAAGTGTTACATTTTGATGTCACTATGTTAAGGAAGCAAACAAAGGTGCCCCGCTGGTGCTTTGCAGACCATTACATGCACACAAACATATAACACACTATACGAAAGGGAAAAACCCCAAAAAGCAGAATACGGCCTCTTTAGTGGCTTCCATGAGATATAATGTGGACATTCATGGATAAAAGGGATGGCGGTTTCTTCCGTCTTATACACTGGACTTGACCACGGACTGTATAAGTTAAAAAAAACTGTAAAAGCATGTGAATGCCTAGAAGTTGTCAATAACTTCCTATGCATCACTGTAATTCTGAAGCATTCCTGTCTTTCAGAAATACAATGTGATGTCACAATTCTCTGAGGCTCCTCTAATGTTGATGGAGAGATCAGCTACAAGTCAGTTTTGCACACACAGCGCCATGTTACACCAGTGTTCGTGTTGTATGAGCTTATTGTGATGCTTCACACGCAGGCCTGTTTGGTGTGAAGAGGAGTGGAGTCCACATCAATGGCTACACGGTCAGTGACGGGGGGGAAGTCAGCATGTGGCTGGCACGTCGCTCCCCTACTAAGCAGACGTACCCTGGACTGCTGGACCATGTGGTGAGTGGTGAGCGAAGACTGTCTGACACTGTCTACATACTGCCACAGTAGATACTTGATGTACACAAAGGATAAGTCCAATTCAGATTTCCACAAATAAATGAATGAGTCGATGTTATGTCTCCGAAGGCAGCAGGTGGTCTGGCTGCTGGGCTTGACATCAAACAAACTGTGGTCAAAGAATGTGAGGAGGAAGCATGTTTCCCAGCAGCCATTGCCGAGAAGGCTCGTCCTGTTAGTACAGTAAGGTAAGCTTGATATTTCTTCCTTTAACTTAAAATGATAAACAATCTTATGATCTATTATCAGTCATTGTATATTCGAATATTACTGAGCCACTACTGTTGACTGGAGAGAGAGAATGAGAAGAGAGATAGAGAGAGAAGTATAGATATTCGAGAAGAGAGAGAGAGAGAGAGAGAGAGAGAGAGAGAGAGAGAGAGATATGAGAGAGAGATAAGAGAGCGCGATCTAGAGAGATTCGCTCTCCTCTGCTGCTCTTCGCTCTCTCTCGCTCTCTCTCTTCTCCTCTCTCTATCTATCTCTTCTCTCGCTCTCTTCTCCTCATTCTCTCTCTCTCTCTCTCTCTCTCTCCTCTCTCTCTCTCTCTCTCTCTCTCCTCTCTCTCTCTCTGCTCTCTCTCTCCTCTCTCTCTCTCTCTCTCTCTCCTCTCTCTTTCTCTCTCTCTCTCTCTCTCTCTCTCTCTCTCTCTCTCTCTCTCTACACATTTAGCTCCCTCCCATTAATAAATATTAATAACTCATTATAATTGTAATATATACAAAAAACTATTGTCATAACTCACTTAACCTACCTCGTGCCATTTTCTAGCTACACCTATGAGGATGAAGACAGGGTTATATCCAAGAGCGTCAGTTTGTCTTTGATTTAGAACTTCCTGTGGGGTTCCAAGCCTAAGTAGGGGATGGAGAGGTGCAAGAGTTCTACCTCCTGCCCCATGGAGAAGGTCAGTACTGCTGTTCTGAATATGAATCCTGTGAGATAACAACAATCTGAGGGGAGACAGAAATACCACAGGGGTGTTTGGTTATTGTCTTGGTTTCAGGTGAAGGAGCTCATAGCCACGGATGACTTCAAACCCAACTGTGCCATGGTGGTCTTGGACTTCCTCATTAGACACTCGTTCATTGATCCAGACACAGGTTTGTGACACGCATAGACCACTATATGTTTGAATAATTGATTTAAAGGGAGCCTGTTGTGCATTTTGGGGTGTTTCCTTCTTGTAGTCTTAGATAGGTTGCAAATCATCACTACATCACTATGTAACACATGCTCTGCCTAGCCCTCCAACACATTGTTTCAATAGGCTAAGGGGCGGGACATCGCTAAGCTGTTGACAAATCACGGCCAGCTACCCACTCAGAGCAGACTGTCCTCTGGTTTCAGGCAGGCACTAAGCCAGACCTGTCCCTTCGGAGATTCAGGAGAAAATGCAGGTGTTGAAGGAAATGCTGCTGTTGATAGGGGCCTGTAAAGAAGCATGCTAAAACTACCATTAAACTGTAAGGCTGGAGCCACACGAGAACGGTAACGCAAACGAACCAAAATCGTTATCAAAAAAAGTCTTCCGTCCACACGCAATAGGCACCAGAAATGTGTCCTTCCACACGAGACCACTCGACCTGCTGGAGACGCTGTAGTACATATGCCGGGCCTGTAAGTGGCGCTGTACTTCCGCCACAAAATAGACCAAATGCAGCGAAGAAGACTTCCGAGCATGGTTGCCCTTCTGTTTATTCTCCGCGGTGGATTTAGCAGCAGAGGTGGGGAGAGGCAGGACTCTTTTTCTCTGTCAGCAGCAGCAGATCTCTGGGGCGTCATTTATAACGCCGTGCGTAGGATTCACGTGGGTAGGTTGCTTACGTAGTAGAAATCCAAAAAATAAGTACAGACATTTTCCGACATTTTCCGATTCACAAAACATTGTGTACCGGCGAGGATAGTGCGTACGGCACTTCCTACGCCTGTTTCCCTTTTATAAATCACAATCGACTCGAAATGCGGTGCAGCTTTTGCGGGCTTCACGTAACGCCCATATTTGCCTATAAATAGTCAAAGAAACGCCCATTCATTCATTCATTTTGACTGACTGCATGAAGAAGATCGCAGGAAATGACGACAGAACTACGGTGGCCGGCAGGTGCAAACACGGAACAACGGCCAAAAACACATACATTAGCAGGAAACGGCTGCAAATCCTGAAATGAAAAACAAACAAACCCCGAAAACAAACGCAACAAAAAAATGCTGCAAATACCAAAACAATATGCAAAGTCCAAAGCACGTACAAATCGCAAAACACATACAAAAAAAAACATTCCGGAAGAGCTCCGGGCCTCTAGGGGGCGCGCTACGTGGAACAGATTGATGTCTGACTAGACATAGAGAGAACGAACGAGAGTGCTGCAAATTGAAGCCGGAGGAAACAAAGTTGATCGAAGTGGGCAGGCATCCTCAAAGTCCGGACTCTGGTCCGGATCCGGACCGAACCACAACTGTCTATGGACATATGTATTATCTGAGTTATCTTTGAGACAACGCAACGAGTCAAAATGCTCCGCTATGTCCACTGCAAACAGCGCTCTGTCTGTCTGTCTGTCTGTCTGTCTGTCTGTCTGTCTGTCTGTCTGTCTGTCTGTCTGTCTGTCTGTCTGTCTGTCTGTCTGTCCGTCTGTCAACGCATTGGTCCAATCACATTCAGCTTCCCGTCAGCGTTTTTTTTTTCCCCCACCAACAGTCTGCGAATCAGAGGCACAGTTGGGCGGGTCTTCGCGGAATGCGGGTGGGAAAAATGCGTGCGTGTTTAAAAAAAAAAGTCAGAGCGAGAGTTAACAGCTCATCCAGTTGCATCTGTACTGTAGCTAGTAAACTAGTCTCACCTATCGGGACCCCGGGGTGGCATGGGGTGGCAACTGCCACCCTAAAAATAGGCCTTGCCACCCCAGCTGCCACCCCAGTTGGCAGCTTTGTTTTGAAAGAAAAGTTGTGGCTCATCGGACATTTATGAGAGAACGTCTCTAATGTCCGAGTGCAAATGAATGCAGCACAAGACGCACGTCTTGTAACCCCTCCCCCGGCCCTGGCGCGAGCGTTGAAATATGATTGGCGGCGATTTCATTTGAACAGTACGGGGCAAAACGAGAAGCATTGATTCGGACCCAAGTACTGAAGGAATGAGGTATTTGCGGTCTACAATGACAGAGAAGAGACTGTCAAGTTTGGCTGTACTCGGCATTGAATCAAAACGCACTAAAGCTTTGGATCTTACTAATTTTGTGAGGCGTTTTGCTGAACAAAATGGTAATCGCCGCATTCAGCTGTAATAGACATGTCAACTTGATGCTCTGCTCACGGATGAGCATACAAAAATGTTAAGATGATGACCTTACGTGTGTAAATATATTTTTTTCTTTGTGGGGGTCCGTCTGCCCCCAAAAAACAGTTTTAAGTCCTGAGAAAGTCAAATAAGATGGTGTGTAAAACTACACTATAATGTGATCTTGCAAACAGATAAGGTCCCTCCCATGTCTAGTACACAAACATTTCTGGAAATTCACTACAACACGATAAATGCAAATCTAAAGTAGTCCGAATAAAACCGTAAAAATGTCTTGTGTGCTAGATTTCAAAATACTGCTGCTGGTTTATAAAGCACTGAATGGTTTAGGCCCAAAATACATTTCTGACCTCCTGCTAAATTATGAACCATCCAGATCTCTCAGGTCTTCAGGGACTGGTCAGCTTTCTGTCCCCAGAGTCAGAACTAAACATGGTAAAGCAGCGTTCAGTTATTATGCTCCAAATATCTGGAACAAACTCCCAGAAACCTGCAGGTCCGCTGCAACTCTTACTACTTTTAAATCCAGGCTGAAGACGTTTCTTTTTGTCGCTGCTTTTAATTGAACTATTCATATCTTAGACTGCACTGTAACTTTTATCCATGTACTTTTTCTTTTAATGTTTAATTGCACTGTAACTTTTATCCATGTATTTTTTCTTTTAATGTTTATTTTATTAGCTTTTCTTTTTAATGACTGATTTTAAATGCCATTTTCTTAATCTCTTTCATTTTTTGTAAAGCACTTTGAATTGCCTTGTGTTGGAAAGTGCTATATAAATAAACTTGCCTTGCCTTGCCTTGCCTTGTGTTGATTGTAAACCTTTCATTTCAGAGACATGCTATCAGGAATTTGGGGCAGGACTCCATCAGACAATGGAGTGAAGCTGAGGACTGAGGCAGAGATACATTACCATGGTGATAACAACAACGTCTCCTCTGTGGTTTGTACGGATCATACACCCTCTCTTCATCCGCCTGAGGGTCCTCCATCAACTCTTCCAGTAGGAGGGCCAGGGGCCTCGTTCATAAACGTTGCGTACGCTCAAAACATGGCCTACGAAAATGTTCTAAGCAATGTTTGCGATTTATGAAAAGCAAACTTGACGGGAAAATGTGCGGTCCTCCACAGACACTTTAACCCATGTCTACGCACAAAAACGGGAGAGATGAGAAACTGCGACACCATTGGCAGAAGGAAGAATGGAGAAAAACATGTATAATAATACCATAAATCTAAATATTACCTCCCATGTATGAAGAGTTAATTAGCAAAAATGGATAAGAGACAAGTGCACACAAAAACATAATTTTGAGAAATAAATGAATGCTGATATGTTATATGTAAAAAACCACCCCTTGAATATGTTCTTTAATTATTACAGGCTATAATGCTTGCATGGCATACAATGTATTCTGTTAAGTTATGTGCTAGACAGAATTACGCTTAAACTGACGCTGATTTCTATTGGCTATATAGACACGAGTGCATGGTTTTAGATATTATATACAGTAATAATTATTTTTAATGTGTTTAAATTGTTAAGCATTTTAGAACTTTGTTTCTAAACGGTCTTTTACAAATACAGACTTGATGCGTTGCTCGTAAAAACACAGGAGGTATGGAAACGTAGAACACCATGTATTTGGTCATTTGTACAGCTGACACACACAATACATTTGTTTTATTTCCTTTCACTGGTGGATAGATTTGCTGCTGGAGGGTTGAGACGCACAGGCTGCAGTGGAGACACTTCTCACCGTTGATTGACAGCCGGAACACAAACCACAAAATAAATATCATTTTTTTTGTAAACAAAGCCCCAACTGTTTGTAAAAACATTACATTACATCTGAGTTATCCTGTGCGTCTGGCACACCTGCGCCATCTTTTCATGTGAATCCCACGCAAAGCTTTATAGATGAGGCCACTGGGGTTCTGTTTGTGTGTTTTCCTCCCAATTGCTGCTAGCAGGGGAAACTATAGTTACGGCTGTAACTACGGTTCTATGAGTCCCGGATGACCGCCAGAGGCGGTGCTTTCAGCACTGGATATGTCCATCGCGCACATGCGCAGCTCGAGTACCAATACCAACAAAGTCACCTGTGACCCACGTGACACCGGCTATATCAGCCGGTGTCGTCAGAGGATCTGTTCCCAGAATCTTCTCGCGAGCACACAAGAATTCTGAGTGACAGGGAACTCTGGCGGTCATCCGGGATTCATAGAACCGTAGTTACAGCCGTAACTATCGTTCTATGTCGTCCCTACTGACCGCCAGAGGCGGTGCTTTCAGCACTGGATAACTTATACCAACAATGTCATGAAGAATCCAAGCCCTTGCTCACCACTGGAAACAGCGGAGCTCGGCAAAAGGACCACGCCCAAAGAATGGGGAGTGGCGACATTGACCTGATGACAACTGGAGAATGTGCCAGAAGACACCCACGACGCCGCGGCGTAGATGGTCTCCAGGGGCACCACCCTCAGGGCAGCCCAAGATGTTGAGATGCTCCTTGTAGAGTGGCATCTCAGCCTGATGGCAGGGGGCGGCCACTGGCCCCGTAAGCCTGTGAGATGGTATCGACAACCCAGTGGGGCAGCCACTGGTTAGAGGGCATAACCTCCTTTACTGCCGCAAGGGCAAAATCAAGAGTTGCTCCTACTACCGTATACAGGCAGTAGCCTTGATATACGCCCTTTGGGCACCCCCAGGGCACAGCAACTTCGACGTGCCGTACTCCTGAATGTCAAAGCATGCCAGCTGGGCAGGCTGATTGAAGTGGGATTGTGGAAGGACCCCGGGCCGGAATGCCACATTTGCCCAAAGGGCAACGCCTGAGAGTCCCACCTCGGGCATGTATTGTTTATGGAGAGGACATGCAACTCCCCGACTCGCTTCCCTGAGGCTATGGCAAGCAGAAATGCTGCCTTCGTGGGCAGCCACCTAAGCCCCACCTGGGCCAGGGTCTCGAAGGGAGGAGATGATGGGGCATCCGGCAGCAGGGGCAGGTCCCAAGCCGGAGCCCTCGGGGTGCTAGGGGGACGCTGCCGTAAAGCCCCTCTCATAAAGAGGGACACCGACCTGTGGCGCCGTCGACCCGAACATGTCGGGCAGAAATCGCAGCCACATAAATTCAGAGTGGAGTGAGAACGTCCACCATCTAGAAGGGACTGTTGTCTAAGCAACAACGTACATGCTGTCCCCAAGGAACACACACATTCTTGCCCCCCAGTTGGGGTAGGAAGTGCGTGAGTGCAAGCTGCACAGCCCGAAGCTCTAGCACATTGACCTGGCGCGCACTCTCCTGGGCAGACCGCTGACCCTGAACGGTCCTGCCCTGCCGCACTGCACCCCACCCTGAGAGACATGCACCTATGGTGATGGTCTCCTGGCGGGATGGGATGGCGCCCATGGGCACGCCCACTAGGAGATAGGCCCTGCCCCTCCAGCGTGACAGAGAGTGGAGGCAATGCTGTGACACCCTGACTTCCCTGTGCCTGTGCCACTTGGCGTCCAAGTGAAGGCTGTTCAGCCACATCTGCATGGGGCGCAACGACAGCGGGCCTAAAGGCCCAGCGGCCGAGGCAGCTGCCAGTCTGCCCAAGGGCCGGAGGAACTGAATATAAGGCACCATCTTGCCCGGCCCACGTGGAAGTAGGCATCCCTCAAGTCCACGGTTGAGAACCACTCCACCTGTGCATATGCAGTGGTCAGCATATAGAATGGCAGCACCTTCGGAAATCTGTTGATTCCTCTGAGGTCCAAGATCGGGCGAAATCCGCCGACTTTCTTGCTCACGAGAAAGTACGCCGAGTAGAACCCCCTGGTCTAAGCAGAGGGTCTTACTGGCTTGATTGCGTCCTTGGACAGAAGGACGGACAACTCTTGGGCCAGAGCTGCGGTCCGTACCCCTGGGTTAAGGTGAAAACCACCCAAGGGACGGAAGTACAGACCGCCCAGTAACTGAGCTGCTGCTGGGAAAGCAGCCGACGACCGGGGGGGCACTGGGGCACGAGGCCGTCTGGAAGGCGGGCGACTTGGGGCACGAAAGTCATTGGGTCGCGCCGCTAAGACCTCTGCAGACCACCCCTGTAATCCGGCAGCTGAGTGCGGCTGCTAGAGCGGCCCCTGGGCCTGCTGGGAGTGGGCACAGGTCTGCGAAGACCCGAGAGCTGCTGCCTGGTCTGCCTAGCTTGGGCGGCACGCTCCAGTGCCTCCAGGGCAGCTGCCCTAAACAGCTCCCCTGGCTCGACTGGTACGCTACGGAGGACTCTCCTACATGCCTCCGTTAGTGGAAACCTGGCGACGAGTCTGTACCAGCGACAAGGCCTCCTCATACAGAGGTGCATCAACCGAAGGAGGTGCGTCAGCCGAAGGAGGTGCGTCAGCCGAAGGAGGTGCGTCAGCCGAAGGAGGTGCGCCAACCGAAGGAGGTGCGCCAACCGAAGGAGGGGCGTCAACCGAAGGCCCCTACACCTGGCCCAGGCTGAAGGACCAAGAGGCGACTTCATCATGCCCCTATCAGCAGCTAGCCGATCCACTTCAGAGGACAGCTTTTCTAGTCCTTCTATTGGGGGGAGCACACATAGCCATCACTCCCTCAAGTCGCCGGGAATGGCCGAATTGATCTGGAGGAGGATGTGACAAGGAGAGGTGTCTGTTGGCTGCTGCCAGACGTTCCACCACAGTGATTCTAGCCACTCTGAGCGCCCGAGGCATGCAGCTACAGCTCATGCAGGCGTTTACCGTGAGAACCTCCCTCAGATGCTCACATTTCTCAATGGCTCAAAAGAAGCCATACAGGCGCTACATGAATGAGCCACTCCGTAGGTAGCCAGATGCAGCGTAGCCGGGAGCGGGTGCGGGAACACAGCCTTCACCAGCTACCTGCTTAATGGAAAGAGTAGAGCGTTGCTGCTACTCGCCGAACAGAAAGAGGGATGTAATTACACCCACGTTTATCGGCAGAGGGAGCGGGAGCGAAAGCACTGCCTTCACCTGGCTGGATTAATAAACACGGCAGTTCAGCGTCTACCAGGAGCGGGGGCGAGAACACTGCCGGCTGAGTTAGAGACGAATGCCAGATGCAGCATAACCGGGAGCGGGTGCGGGAACACAACCTTCACCAGCTACCTGCTTAACTGAAAAACAGGGCAGTTCCGCGTCTACCAGGAGCGGGGGCGAGAACACTACCTTCACTGGTTGAGTTAGAGACGAATGCCAGATGCAGCGTAACCGGGAGCGGGTGCGGGAACACAGCCTTCACCAGCTACCTGCTTAACGGAAAGACAAGGCAGTTCAGCGCTTACCAGGAGTGGGGCGAGAACACTGCCTTCACTGGCTGAGTTAGAGACGAATGCCAGATGCAGCGTAACCGGGAGCGGGTGCGGGAACACAGCCTTCACCAGCTACCTGCTTAACGGAGAAACAAGGCAGTTCTGCGTCTGCCAGGAGTGGGGGCGAGAACACTGCCTTCACTGGTTGAGTTAGAGACGAATGCCAGATGCAGCGTAACCGGGAGCGGGTGCGGGAACACAGCCTTCACCAGCTACCTGCTTAACGGAAAAACGAGGCAGTTCAGCGTCTACCAGGAGCGGGGGCGAGAACACTGCCTTCACTGGTTGAGTTAGAGACGAATGCCAGATGCAGCGTAACCGGGAGCGGGTGCGGGAACACAGCCTTCACCGACTACCTGCTTAACGGAAAAGCGAGGCAGTTCAGCGTCTACCAGGAGCGGGGGCGAGAACACTGCCTTCACTGGTTGAGTTAGAGACGAATGCCAGATGCAGCGTAACCGGGAGCGGGTGCGGGAACACAGCCTTCACCAGCTACCTGCTGAACGGGAAGAGTAGAGCGGTGCTACTACTCACCGAACAGAAAAAGGGGATGTAGCTACATCCGCATTACCGGTAGAGGGAGCGGGAGCGAGAGCACTGCCTTCACCTAGCTGGGTAAAATAAAGAAGCTTAACAGTACACGCAAGACGTTAGCCGAGCAGCTGCTGCTAACGATCAAGCGATATCAAGTCAAATAACACACATGTTTAAGACCAGATAACTAGCTTCAAAAGAAGAGAACAGCACAGAGCTGTAGTTACAGCAGTAACCATGGCCAGTGCTCACACGGCATATAACCGTAGTTACAGTAGTAACTATGGCCAGTACTTACACGGCTTAGAACCGTAGTTACAGTCGTAACTATGGCCAGAACTTACACAGCATAGAGCCGTAGTTACAGTAGTAACTCTGGCCAGTACTTGCACGGCTTGGAACCGTAGTTACAGTAGTAACTATGGCCAGTACTTACATGGCTTGGAACCGTAGTTACAGTAGTAACTATGACCAGTACTTACACAGCATAGAGCCGTTTACGGTATTGACAATGGCCAGTACTTGCACGGCTTGGAACCGTAGTTACCGTAGTAACTATGGCTAGGACTTACGGCTTAAAACCGTAGTTACAGTAGTAACTATGGCCAGTACTTACACAGCATAGAGCCGTAGTTACGGTATTGACTATGGCCAGTACTTACACGGCTTGGAACCGTAATTACAGTAGTAATTATGGCCAGTACTTACGGCTTAGAACCTTAGTTACAGTAGTAACTGTGGCCGGTGCCTAAAAGTGTCAGCCAAACGGCTGCCCACTAGATAATATAATATTGGGAGGATGAAATCCTCCTTAATGGCCATACATGCAGAGCACACAGCACACAGTGAAGATTGTTCTCTGCATATCGTCCTAGTGCTAGGAGTCTAGTCCTAGGAATCTAGTACTAGGAGTCTAGTACTAGGAGCAGTAAATACAACGATATAGCGCTACTGCAACCATACCATGCGTTTACCGCTGAGTTAAATAATGAAGTTTAACAGTACATGCAAGGTGTTAGCCAAGCGGCTGCTGCTAACAATCAAGCGACCAAGTCAGAACACTTTATGTTAAGACCAGATAATAGCTTCTAAGAAATAGAAAGTACTTACCTTACTCTCTGCATCTAAACGAAAAACGGGTTAAATTGAATGAGGGACACAGCCAAAGCTGGGACTCAAATGCTAATGATAGCTCGGGCACAACGCCACAAGCAGAACTTTCAAAAGAGCATAAGGGCAACTTTATGGGAGAGGAAGCGGGAACACTGTCGTCACCAGAAAGTCTAAGCCAAACAAAAAACAAGACAGCAATCAGGACAACTTGGCTGGGAGAGGGTGCGGGGACACAGCCATCACCAGCGACAAGCTGACACCAACCTGTCTGTCGAGGCTCTGCACAGCCGGCCACAGCTCCTGGAGGACGCGTTAACGACCCGTAGCTCCGACTGTCAGTCACGAAGCTGCACGCGGCCAGCTGCTTGCAGAGAAATCCCTCAGATCAAACGTTCTAACCTGAACGCTGTAGGCTACAAAAATGTAGCCGCGGTACCCTCGCGCAGCGAGAAGATGAAAGGAACAGATCCTCTGACGACACCGGCTGATATAGCCGGTGTCACGTGGGTCACAGGTGACTTTGTTGGTATTGGTACTCGAGCTGCGCATGCGCGCGATGGACATATCCAGTGCTGAAAGCACCGCCTCTGGCGGTCAGTAGGGACGAAATAGAACCTCTGTGTCCTGCAAGTAGCTTATACTGCATCACGGCCTGGTACGGCAGCTGCACCGCCCTCAATCGTAAGGCTTTACAGAGGGTGGTGAAAACTGCAGAGAACATCACCAAGACGGAGCTCCCATCCATGGAGGACCTTTACTCCCAGCGGCTCAGGAAGGAATCCCTCAGGATTATAAAAGACCCCCATCACCCCAGCCACAAACTGTTCTGTCTGCTGCCATCAGGCAGGCGTTACCGCAGCATCCAGAATAAAACCACCAGACTCAGAGATAGTTTCATCCCACAGGCAATAAGACTGTTAAACACCTGAATTCTGTTAAGTGCCTCCATCAGCATTCATCTGGTTGCATCTTACAATTCATATACTGCATCTTAATGTTAATCACTACAATAAACAGTATTTTATTTTACTGTACAATATTTAATTTTACATTCTGTTCTTGTATATCTGATTGTATTTACATGTATATAGACTCCCGCATTTACTTGGTCATGTACAACATTCTCTGCATTATTTATCTTGTGTATTTTTCTTAAATGTATATAATTGACTTCATCTGCATCACTTGGTCTTGCAACAACATCTGCACTATTTTATTCTAATATATTCTACTCTGTTTCTTCTTGCACTATTTTTATTTTATAATTGTTTTATTTCCTATATAACTATGTTGCATTGTTGAAGGAGCTCGGGACTTACGTCTTTCATCTAAACTGTGGCTACTAAGGTATGCACCCTTTGAATCTTATAAAACCAGGCGTTGGTTGCTGTTACCTCAGATGTAGGGAGCACTTTTTCTAATGCTGCAAACTCCTAGCATGTCAACCTCAAGCCTCTGTTGGCTCGCCTTGCTCTGGGATGGTCTCTGAGTGAAGAAGTACAGCTAACCAGTATCAGCATTACCTTCAATATGAGGAGTAAAAAGGTCAGACTTGATATAATGACAGATATATTAACAGTATTCACAGAGCAAGATGAGAGGCTGGTTTCATTGAGTTACCTCGTGGGTATAGACGTATAGACCAGGGGTGTCAAACTCAATTTCATCGCGGGCGACATTCGCATAAAGGTTGGATTATGTGGCCTCTTGCGGGGCCACATAAAATGAAGTCGCGGGCCGGATTTGGCCCCCGGGCCTTGAGTTTGAGACCCCTGGTATAGACTCTACCCTAGGTAGTAAGGAAGACAATTACTTGGCAAAGAATGAGGATAAAGTACACATGTTCCTACAATGTGGACCACTCCAATGCACTCAAATCACAAACAAGTCAGTAAATAAATGTGGCAAAAAACATGGGGGACAGAGAATGAGGTAATGCCTTTATTGTGGAAACAGCCCAAATTATTATAAAATGTGTCTGGTTTGCCAACCTGAAGTCTTTGTAGGTTCTTCGTTTTTTGGGATTGTTTATAAACTAAGCTAGTATGCATTCAAAAGTTAGAACAATTAAAAACTATTATTTAATTTGGCAACACTGCATAACCTAGTAAATACTGACCCAATGGTGAATAGTAGACAAAGCATGACTCATTAACTGACAAAGCTTGACTCAGAATTTGGTCATTCTCAGTTACAATTTATTTCCTTTAGAATACATTACAAAAAGACAACTGGAGAAATGTGAGGATATGTTACAAAACAATATTCCTCTAACAAATAACCAGAGGTTGCTTGCGTTTATCATTTCATAATTTGACATAATTTTTTTCAAAGTGTGTATACCACACACTGAGGTTTTGTTTTAAGCGGTGTGCAAATAATACAACATAAGCCAGTGGAATATCATGCAGTTAAAATAACATACAAAAGAATAAGAAGCAGAACAAAGAAGAGTTGCAAACACACTTCCAATAAGGCCCTGGAAGACAGGTACACCAAACACTTCCAATAAGGCCCTGGAAGACAGGTACACCAAACACTTCCAATAAGGCCCTGGAAGACAGGTACACCAAACACTTCCAATAAGGCCCTGGAAGACAGGTACACCAAACACTTCCAATAAGGCACTGGAAGACAGGTACACCAAACACTTCCAATAAGGCCCTGGAAGACAGGTACACCAAACACTTCCAATAAGGCCCTGGAAGACAGGTACACCAAACACTTCCAATAAGACCCTGGAAGACAGGTACACAAAACACTTCCAAATAAAAACCAATGCTTTCAAAATGGGAGTGTCGAACAACTGAACAACAAATGATGGCTGAGTTAAAAACAGAGGCTGCTATTACTTGAGATAATTTCTCTCTAATGTCAGTATAATGTACATTTCCACAGCAGCCTCACTGAAACTGGGAAAATCGAATGACCTGCGGCAAGTTTTAAATATAAACTCAGTAGTGTGTGCATGTCCTTGATGGTAGCTTAACAGCAATACAATAAAAAACAGACTTTAAAAAAAGCTGTTATAAAGAAATGGACATGGCTGTGAAGCGACCTAAATAATGCTGTGGAAATGCACATTATACAGAATGTTTCTAGAGAGACCCGTAACGTGGAGGACGAGTTGAGCTTGCATTAACAAATTAAAAAAGATGAGAAAACATGGAGGCGCATTACTAAAATATGATATAAAATATACTCATGGGAAATTAAAATAAAGGCGTTCCTCTAATATAAACCTGTTTTACATCAATGTGTGGCCCTCTCTGTAGAGGAGGGACATTAAGGCCCCAATACTCTTTGAAAAATGACAGCTTCTTTAATTTTGTTAACCTTTTAATACTCAACTGTTGACAGTGTTTGACAGTCCTGATCCATTGAATCAAACAGTATTCTGACTTGAAAGCCAAGTTAAGCTTGGCTTAATCTTTGTTAATGTTGCAATCATTAACAGGCTTGTATAAAACACTCAAATAAGTTGGTCTCATAACATCACATATTTATGCTCGAATGCCAATAATCAGCGTAATGGAACAGAAAGGCCATATACAGTTTATATTGCCCATAGGTAATATAGGAGAAAGAAAGAAGAGAACAGTCACACAGCAGGCCATGGAACTCTCCCAACACTTAGAAAGGCAGGCATACATCGGGGGGGCACTGAAGCAGTGAGTTCAGGACAGAGGAGACCAGAAAAAACTACTAACCCTCCACACTAAAAAGGCATGAGTGATTCATGCTCTCTCCATGATTTCATGTATCCTAATCATAGCAGTTTGATTTGAAAGCTTTAACCATGTACTACAATCTATACACTGACTTTGTCTACAGAGCTATGATGTGATCTTGTAGGCAGACCCGGAAGTTAGCACAAGGGCTCAATCGGCTAAAAGCAATGGGATTATTTGTATTGGATTTTGGAACAGACGTTTATGATACGTGCACGTTTTGCTCAGCAGGATAATCTCCACATATTAACACCACTTTTATGATACTTAAATGCAACTGCCAGAAGTAAAAAGCCAACATAATGATCTAAACAAAAAAACATGTCAACATCGCTAAGCTAAAGGTGGCTAATATTTTGCGTGTTGGCGTTATGTAGTCAAATGTTGTAACTTTTAAGCAACCGCTGTTAGTGGGGTATTTACTTACATATTTCCTGTCGTAGAACTAAAACGTGAAAATCTCAAAAGCTTGCATTAACCAAATACTTTATTTCTGGAAGAAGAAAAAAACATTCGAGATGAGGGAGCCAGGAAGTGTCTAAATGCTAACTCATTTCCGGGTTAAGAACTCATTCCTGCACCACTCTACTGCATTCGATCTTTCTTTGTTACCCCTTTAGCCATGTTGGACTTTCTTAGCTTCTCCCTATAATGCCCCAATCAATTGTGCCCAGCTTGGTGCCCCAGAGGACACAGAGAGGGGGTGTTACTTGGCCTGGTCTGTCCCCCCCCTCCCCCACCCAGCCCTGTGTGCCGTGACGCTCTATAGCACAGTGCAGCCGCCCTTCTTGCCTCGCCTCTTGGCCTGCAGCGCCGCCCTGGTGGCCATCTCGAACACCTCCCTCACTCCGTCCTTGGTCTTGGCCGAGCACTCCAGGTACCCGAAGGCGTTGATGCGGTTCGCCATGTCCCTCGCCTCTTCTGACTTCACCGGCTCCTGTAGGGATGAACCATAGTCATTAAGAAAAATCATGAAGTCATAGAAAAGATGAAAAACTATTTGAAATACTGAGTGACTCAAATCTGATTTTCTTTTGTGCATGTGTGATTGAGATCTTTTGTTCTCCCAAAACTAAACAGCACAAATCAAAATGTCGGATTTGGGCCAATATCATTTAGTCCACTTTCTATTATGTTCATAATATAGATCCAGGTCTGATTTTTTGCAATGCCACCTATATCTGAGTGTAGCTTTTTTTGGGGGGGGGTTAACCTGCTGCATTCACCTGCTCACTTGTGGTTTTGGGGGTTAGTCGGGAGTCGAAGATTTCTGTTGACCGCATCTTTCATCTACATTTTCCACCGTATCACACTTGCACTAGCAATCACACTCTTACTTACTTGTATTGGGATGTATTGTATTTTTGCCTTTTTCTATTTCAATGTAATAAATGATCAAACGAACAGAGTTTATTGGACTTTTCTCTCAATCTGTCCAGGAGTAGCAGCTTTTGCTCCAAAAAAAAGCTACAAAGAAAAAGTTAGTTTATTTTTCCTCCTCCATTATCATCTGCTTACAAACCCACTGGCTTCCAACTGACAGTGCCGTTTTTATATGTACAAAAGTGGCGGGGCACAAAAAACTTAGATGTCTTATATAAGCGTCTGCAGTGACGTGCTGTGAGGTTCATGGCTGGTGAGGCACTGGCACCGACTTCAGGTTTACAAATATTATATTTTGACCTAAATCAAAATATAATATTATTTTCAAAAGCTTTTTTGGTCTGATGCTTCAATTAATTTTAAACAGAGAGTTCAACAGAAGGATACCCAAAAAATGTAATTTTATCATTTAAATATTGAATTGTTCTCTCTTAGTAAGATCCCATTTTCAAGAAAATGGCAGTTTTACCTTGACTTGAAGATGAAGTCCATTTGCCTATCCTTCTGGACAAAAATCTCTATTACTTTTTTGTAAAAGTCCTCCTTATTTTCTTGTAGTTTCAAAAGTCGAATCATAAATCTAATCGATAGATTTATGATTCAAAAATTATAAAAGTAGGGTAGACATGTGGATATTATCGGGCTGAACAAAACGTGCATTTTGAGCTATTTTCTAAAATCCTATGGAGAAATCTCATTGCTTTTTTGTGGAGGGAAGCCATGCGCAGCTTACTTCCTGGCACTAGGTGGGGCTGTGCCCCCAATGACCAGTCGCCACAGCCAACTGAGCACCTATTTATGAAACTAAACTCTTATTGTTTTATTTTGTACAGCCCTGTGCTGTGTGTTTTTTCAGTTCAGGACTACGACCGGTTCACACAGAAATCAGATATTGGGCACATTTATAAAGAAGTTTGATCTGACAGTAACGTTACTGTACATGCAGGATAGCTTGTAGTTCATACTTAGGTAGATATTATTGATGTATACAGAACTCCAGAGGCATGGGAATGAGCTCCATACAGGACTGACCTGTTTCATCTTAGCTAGCTCTCGGCGTGTGTGATCGTCATTACGCAGGTCTTTCTTGTTCCCCACCAGAATGATGGGCACGTTGGGACAGAAGTGCCTCACCTCAGGAGTCCACTTCTCCGGGATGTTCTCTGCAACGAGCACAAGAGGTACAAGTTGAACATGGAGCAGATGCAAACAGAATGTGTGTGAAACTAAGGAGGAGAGGAGGAAGTCTCACCCAAGCTGTCGGGGCTGTCCACGGAGAAACACATGAGGATGACATCAGTGTCGGGGTAGGAGAGGGGCCTCAGGCGGTCGTAGTCCTCCTGACCCGCCGTGTCCCAGAGGGCCAGCTCCACCTGCAACACCACTGCATTACTGCCAGGGAAATCACTGCGAGGGGCGGGGCCAAGGAATATATCAATCTATAAAAGCAGCTTTAGCAGTTTATATACTTATTTGCTGTGCTGTTTAATTTAAATAGTGTTGAGTTATTTCTACATTCTTATGCTTATAGTTATGATGTTTAAGATGAATGCCTTTGCTGGTATATCTGAATTCAAACTAGTATGTGTAAACTCATTAGATTTGTTATGTACCTCTAAAAGATAAAAGTTTGATCTGGAACTCCTGCTTGTGATAATCTGTAAAAACAGTGCATTGAATATCCTTAAACTCCTTACACACCAAACTGACCAAAGAACACGTCCCGACGGAATGTCGGCTCACGTCTCCTGCGTCGTGGCCATGTTTTGGCCATGCACTGGAACACACCGCAAAGACTTCAGCCGACGGCCAAGTTGCACGTACGAACTGCGTGAGGCGACGTGAGGCGACATTCCGTCGGGACGTGTTCTTTGGTGTCAGTTTGGTGTGTAAGAGGCTTTAAACCTTACCATTCCCACAAGACAACATAATCCCAAACATAATATTCTTTATATCTTAATTTAAATCAAATGACATGATCTCAGAGGCATGCAGAGAATACGATTTACAATGTATTCCCTAGATCTTTACATTAAGAGATCTCGCCATTATATATGCATCATGTAAGGAAAACAAATTCAAAAATGGGTTCTATGTGATTGTTATGTGCTTGTAAAACTGGCCATTTTATGAATGATTAGAAAAGATTGACCCATTTAGAATGACAAATGGAATGTCTTTCACAGAGCGATGACTCTTTAAATGTTGGGTTCATATGATAAATGGTGTGTATGTGTGTATTTTCCTAAGTAGCCTAGCTTAGCATAAAGACTGACAACAGGGGAAGACAGTTAGCCTGACTCTGTCCATAGTATGATATTCAAAATCTCCAATTTGGGATTTAAAAGACATGCTGGAACTTGACTGAGGCCAGATTTCTGATTTCTCAAAGTCTTGAGATTCGCTGGTTTCCAGGCAACCATGTGACATGAAAAGGCCTGCATTCAGCTGTCATTATCCAGATGAACAATCAGATGGCGATGGGGTGAGGGAGAGACTTTGAGTTAAGGACATGACGATATATCGACAAATATAACCTTAGTGTAGATGAATTGCTCTTCATATACATGTCCCCAATACATTTGATTACTATAAACTGAAGTACACTTTTCCCCCCAGACAGCACTGAGAAGTTTTTTTAGCAATTTATGATACTTACACCTTTTGCTCTGCATATTAACAACACTGTTTTGATATTTAAAGCATAAATGCATTTTGCCAGAAGTGAAAAGCTAACATTATGATATAAACAAATTACATATTGGTCACATGACTTCACGTTAACACCGCTATGATATCGGCAGCTAATATTTGACGTATAGCAGTCTCATTTGGTTACTTGATAGCAACCGCTATAATTATGAGACGTAAAAGCTTATGGCATTCACCAGTCGGGTATTTACTGGCTTTTTATGGCATTAACAAAAACCTTACATTATAGAATCTAACCAAAAATGAATTAAAAAAAAAACATTGACTTTGTGACGAGGGAGCCCCGAAGTGCCCACATGCCAACTCATTTCTATGTAACGGACTTATTGCTGCACCACTCTACTGCCTTACCCCTTCAGCCTGGTTTGAATTGTCTCACTTCTCCCTATAATGCCCCAATCATTGTAACCAACTTGGTGACCCAGAAGACACAGATAACGGTTCAAATGTAAAAAAAGATAACAAGTCTGTAATAAACAGCTTACCTGTTTCCCATCCACCTCGATGTCTGCCACATAGTTTTCAAACACTGTGGGCACATACACTTCAGGGAACTGGTCTTTGCTGAACACTATGAGGAGGCAGGTCTTCCCACAGGCTCCATCACCCACGATCACCAGCTTCTTTCTGATTGCAGCCATCTGAGATGAAAATGAAAGAAAGAAGATATTTTTATCAGCATACAAGATCGGGAAGTCTAAAGGCAAGTAGAAACATGTCATTCAAATGAGACGGTGATGACTTGCTTTTAACACGGGCTGAATGATTTGGAAAATACGTATATCACTGCACTTTTTTGACTGATATAGCAACGGCAGTATGACATTGAAGGGAAAACAAGGTATAATTCTTTGCAAGGAACAAATATTTTTTTCATAAATCTGTCAACCCACATTTTTGCAGGCTAGTACATTTCTAAAGCACCCCAATACTTCATGCAGAATGTTATTTTGACACATTGTATCCTTTTACAAATATTGCACCTCCTATGTCGACTTCCCTTCCCCGGAGTAACACCTCTCAGTGTGGCAACAGAAAGCCTTACTGACTCGGCACTAGTGGTTAAGCAATGTGGTTTTATTAAATGGCCGATGCCCATATTTAGAGAGTGGGCGGCCGTTAATGATAAGATTGTTGCTGTTCTCTTTGTTGCATCTGAGAAAATACAGCAATTAAATAGCAAGTGAGGCACTAACTTGCTGAATTTGAGTCTATTAACCTCTAGTAATTCTCACATTGACTCTGTTCGCTTGAGCCGATTTGCACTCCGTCTGCAGAGCACTTCTTCTAAATAAACAGAAATGTATCAACTAAATAAAGGATCCAAGGTCACCAAATATCTTAGGTTATCAGTATATAGCAGCACCTCCTTTTGCTGATAGACAACTATCATTTTTAAACCTATATAAGGTTCACGGTACTTTATTTGTCATACGAACATAGGTACAGTGTAGTTATGTCGATGAAAATCTTGTGTCACAGGCTTCTCCAACAGTGCAACACAAAACACAGATTAACAGAACAATATAGTGCAAGTAAATAGTAAATACAAGAAGAAAATAGTTTTAAAAAAAGTGAAATAGTGCAATAAGAGTCTATATGCAAGTCATTGAAATATGATATATTAGGTAAATAGATTAATAATTTGTAAGTAGCAGCCAGATGAATATTGTGGATGTTGTTTCAACAGTTCAGGTGTTTAACAGTCTTATTGTCTGTGGGATGAAACTGTCCCTGAGTCTGGTGGTTTAAATAAGAATACATAAATAATGTCAATAGTGTAGTGGTATTCCCTGTTGTTGGTTAAGTGAAAAAGTACAATTAAAAAATAAGTAATACGAATTGGCAGGTTGATTATCTCAAAATGGCCTTTATCTGCCCCATCAACAAGTCAATAGTCAACAACTATAGGCACTATCTGTTCGCATCTCACAAATGTATATATTTCTATAATAATCAGTATTTATTCCACTGTAAAGTATTTACATATAAGTTATGTTCTTGCAACATAATCTTGCACTATTTTATTTCTGCTCAGTTTCTTCTTGCACTATTTTCTATCAATGTGTGTTATGTCAGTCTTATATGCATTGTTGGAGGAGCCTGGGATTTAAGTTGTTCATTTCCATAACAACACTGTAGCTACTGTGCATAAGACAATAACGCCTTTAAATATTGAATCTATTAACTACACAGAACCAGCAAAATACTAACCATCTCCTTCCCATCTTGCTTGAGAGCAAACATATAGGGCATTATTCTGTTTCATTTGGGTTATTACAAATAGCAACAGAACATTATAATAGAGACAATCATTCTGATTCCAAAAATAACCTTATCAACAGTCTAAATTACTATTGTGGCCGTTGATCCAAAACAGATATATGTCATATCGGTATGGTCCTCACCACGAGAATAGTGCCTGATTTAAAATTCAGCGAACCCTAATATACATTTTAGTGGATGGATCTAGTACTAAACGCATTCAGATTAAATTATATACAGCCTGTTTTATAACCCCTTGCTATAAATGAAATACTACATGCTTAAGAGAATGACATCTAGTGGATAACGTTAACACACCTTCGGCAAATGTTATAGTTATAATATCCTAATACGGCGTTAACTTGAAGTGGATTTGGCAAATGTACGTTGCATTATTACTTCACTTCCTCACTGCTATTTGCCTCAAATGTAAGGAGAACATGTATCTGCCAATTTAACCTCAGATTAATCTCGTCGCATTACAGATGATTTACAATCCTAATGGCACATAATCGTCAATAATATAATTTCTGGCCTATGTTTATCAGAATCCGTTACAGTGTCAGCTAACTTCTAGCTACCAGCAGTTTCCATTGCAGCTATAAAGCTAACTACTAGCATGCTAACTTTGCTTAGTTTTTCGAGACAGCTGGTAGCTTGTTGAGATGGATACATGACATTTGATACCGCACTATTGGTTTTAGCACACATCGTGACATATAAAGCAAGTAACGTAATTGTACCGTTTTATTGGAGATCCTCGCCTTTCTTCAGTTTTCCTGTCGGACCTTATAGTCCCGCCCCCAGTGCGACGAAGATTGGGTCCGCCCACATTACATACTTTCTGCCAATGGGACATGCCGGACTCATGATTGAGAAGTAAGGGAGCCAATCAATGTAGCTATTGCGTGTACGAATCTCCCAGTTCTGTCTTCGGTAGAAAAAAGTTATAAGCACTGTTTAGCCTGGGGTCAAGCCTCCAAGGGCTTTTTTGTCGTCTCTGTGGTTTCAGTCCCCGCTGCCATGGCTCCACAAATCATGTGAAACCCAGATTTGGCACAAAAAAGGGGGAATACACGTTTCGCAATTATGCCACATCAAGGTGGAACGCTCTTCCCACAACTGTAAAGGAAAGTAAAACTATACTTACCTTCAAAACCTCTCTTAAAGAGCACCTTCGGGGGAGAGCATTGCAAAACTGGCCCCGGTAATGGTACAAATCTCAACCTGTCGTTCAATGGACAGCTTCCCCCCCATCTATGTATATACTCGCATTTTAGACTCTGTTACTAACTGTATATCTGTAGACTTGGTATGTCTTAAATGTCCGGTTAGGATGTATTAGAACGAAATCTAAAATGAAAATTGTAAACAAGCAATCTGTATGTAAAAAAACCCACCTGTATGTAAATTGTAAATAAGCCATCTGATCTGTATGTCAAATATGTCTTATATGTCTTAAATGACATGATGAATTGGAAATGGGGGACCCTGATGTAAACAAGACGAAAGTCTTTCTCTGGTCTGCATCCCCTTAACAATTGTATGTTTTGAGCTGTACTGTACTGTACCCAATATACAAGCTGTTAATAAACTTTTCAATCAATCAATCAATCAATCAATCTAATGGTCATTGGAGCGAGGGGCGGGGCGAAACTCACGGAAGTGATTTCAAAACAAAAGCAGTGATAATATTATAAACAAAGGGAAACAAGGTGAATTTAGCGATCACAACGAAAACGGCCAAGACAAGACACATATTGAGCCCAGAAAATGGATGTTATTAAGGGCTGTAAATATAATAAGCCTCTGTCTAAAATGGACAACGTTGTTAGGAGATTTAAACTATAGGCTACATCGATTCTGCACTGCGGTCAACTCCGCCGCCTCTCGAGTTTTTTCAAATCAGCTGCTCTTCATTCCTGCTATATTTGACGAGTGATACAAATATGTTTTACCACAAGTTCTTTGGACTCGGTTCTAGTTTGACTTCTACCAGAAATAAAATGAAGTACTTTTGCTGTGTACTTTGTGAGTAATCCTCTGTCAGAGTCCCCTCCATAATGCATGTTTTTCTGCTATCTTTGATGAGTGATAAAAAATATAATGTTGCCATTAGTTCTTAATGAAATGGATACTGTTTGACTTTGTATTAGCCTACTACTTACAATACATTGAAGTACTTTTACTGTGTATTGTTTGAGGAATACTCTGTCAAAGTCCCCTGCTGAGAACAAAATCAAGCCACTTCTGCTAAGTTTGATGAGGGAATTCTTTTTTATTGCCATTAGTTCTTCGTGAGATTTATCCTGTTGGACTCAGTACTAGTGAAACTACCCCCACAAGTACTTACTGTGTACTTTTCCAACAATCCTCTGTCAATGTCCCCTCCTGAGAACAAGAATGCATGTTTCTCTGCTATTTTGAATAAGCGATAAAATACCTTTCTTTATGAGACTGATATTGTTGGACAGAGTATTTTAAGAGGATGGTAGACTGCACACTGACACACTCTGTCACTCTTGTTAGCCTCTTTTAATAACAGATTCTTCAGTCTCATCACCAGCCTCATCCTTCCATCAGTCCCACTCAACGCCTCCAGCACACTTCCAGTGTCTGACTCCTATGATATTGTCCTGATGCTGTAAGGGTGATGCCCCATGATCACACAGTGCCAAGGACTTCATATTATGTATGTCATTAATATTACATCACCCATTATAACAATTTCCTTTCCTTTTTCTCTTCTCTTAACTGAATAGTCCTGTCTTTAAGTATAATACAATGTAAAGTCCTTTTCCTGCACCATTTTAAGGCTTCAAAACAGGCATTTTTACTGTATATGTTTGGAGAAATTACACAATCAATGGCCCAGAATTGTACTTTATAAACTCTGAATCTTGTGGTGCTTGAAGAAATACACACTGGTTAAGCCGGCCAGGTTATATGCCTTTTTTGGAGCCCTTTTTTGCAATATTTATTAAAATGTCAGTAGTTATTTAAACAAACCACTATCTGAGGATAATACAAGCAACCATAAAACATACTGAGCCATTGAAGCCCATGAATAATTGATCCTTTCACAAATCTTTTCAACTGCTGTAAGTTAGGGCACTCTCTGTGCAGAAAATTAAAAATATTCTTCATTTGCAGTATTTTTTTTAAAAAGTGTTCAGAAAGACTGCATCAATTATATATGTATATATTAGAGCCGGGACTTTAACGCGTTAATTAAGATTAATTAATTACACAACAAATTAACGCGTTAAAAAAATTAACGCATTTTAATCGCACTTATTTTTGCACCGCGGAACGTTTCTCACTGGATGAGTTTCAGGCGTATCGATTATACTGGAGCACCAACTAACGTTCATGACTTCAGACAACAACAAACCACAGTGAACAACAGTGGGAAATGTTGTTTTAAAAAACGGACGGATGGAAGCGTCGATAAGAGCACGGTTGTGTGCAAATTATGCAAAAAGGAATTCGCATATCACCGCAGCACATCAAGCCTCAAGTATCACCTCAATGCAAAACATATAGCAGCTAGCGTGGAAGCTAGCGTGGACGTTAGCCTCTTTTATCGCGTTCACACCAAAAAGAGCCGGTACTAAAATTAGTTCATGAGAACCTTTTTACCCCCACGAAAGTCCCTGCTAGAGAGCAGAGAGCTGCTAGAGAGCAGGGACTTTCGTACGGCTCTCTTGTGAGAAAATAGCTATATTTCTGATTGGCTGGGAGGATTGCAAACCACGCCCCGTAAAACTCCCAAAAAGTTTTGTGAAGCCGCCATTTTATTATCCTCGCATTAGCATTATTAGCATTAGCATTAGCCCAGCGCAGAAACGCAGAGAGACTAACTTATGGCAACATAAAATAAAACATGGGAGCGGTGGAGATGAGGAGGTGTCGGCGTTCTGGCGATTTACTCGGAAGGCTTCAGTAGAAGTTGCTGGGAGTCCCAGCAGCTTCGACTGAAGCCTTCCCCAACTCCAGGGACTTCCGGCCGGGGACTTTGGGCGGCAGTATACGCCGTGAAGTGGTTTGCGGCCTGCCAGTAAACCCAAAGCAGAAGAAGAAGAAGAAGAAGTGACGTCATCGGCTTCATTTGCCTAATCCACCCCCAGGTTCAAAGAGTTCTCATGAACTAAATTCTCATGAACCTTTGTGGGAAAAGTACTGCGGTGTGAATGCGCCTAATGGTATACTAAAATCCATGTGAAAAAAATTGCTTCTCACTGTTCTCAGGTCAAATATTTATATGTGATTAAAAATGCGATTAATTTCGATTAATTAATTACAAAGCCTCTAATTAATTAGATTAATTTTTTTAATCGAGTCCCGGCCCTAGTATATATATATATAATATCAATATTTGTATTAACTAACCAAAGTCAATTTAAATAGCGGGCAGAAATGGGTTAACTGCCATGCATGTGGTGTTTGATATAGTTTACGTTCAATTTCAACTATTTTAGGCAGAAAAACGTATATTGACCAAACCTTTTTTAATAGTTTACTATAATTTAGAAAGGTTTTTGTAAGAAATCATTTCAAAAGTAAACTTATTTTTCATTTTATATTTAAATTTGAAATGTTTGCACACAACATTATTAATTTATACATTTGTATCAATTTTTTAAAATTATGAATCAATTTATTTTATTGTATTTCCTTGAGGCTGGGGAAGATATAATGTAGTTCAACATGCAAATGTTCTAATGCAAGTAAGTATAAGTATAACATGGAAAAGGAAATAAAATAAGTTTCATAGGAAGATGTGGATTTATTTTTCTCTCACCTTGTAACTACACAATCAAACAATCTATAATTTAGCTCTGGCCTTCACTCACAAAAAAACATTTTGTTGAATTGGACACATTTTTCAAAGCTCTATTGACTGACATGCAATGACTGGGACTGATGGAAGAATCTGCGAGGAATTAACTAGGAGCAGAGAAATAATCATATTTTAAAAGATAGCAGCTTCATAAGAGGCCAACAAGCGTGACAGAGTGTCAGTGTGCTGAAGGATAGACCAGCTATCCAGGCCAGTCTCTATAGACTTTCCAAGGGGTACAATTGCTGCTGCCGGAGTATTGACTGGAAGTATTGCTGATATCATGTCTACCATATCCTCTTAAAATACTCTGTCTAACAATATCAGTCTCATGAAGAAAGGTGTTTTTAACGCTTGTTCAAAATAGCAGAGAAACATGCATTCTTGTTCTCAGGAGGGGACATTGACAGAGGAGTACTGGAAAAGTACACAGAGTACTTCATAGTACTTGGGGGTAGTTTCACTAGTACTGAGTCCAACAGGATCAATCTCACGAAGAACTAATGGCAACAAAAAATAATTCCCTCATCAAACTTAGCAGAAGTGACTTGATTTTGTTCTTGGCAGGGGACTTTGACAGAGTATTTCTCAAAAAATACACAGTAAAAGTACTTCAATGTATTGTAGGCTAACTAATACAAAGTCAAACAGTATCAATTTCATTAAGAACTAATGGTAAAATTATATTTTTATCATTCATCAAAGATAGCAGAAAAACATGCATTATGTACTAAGGAGGGGACTCTGACAGAGGATTACTCACAAGTACACAGCAAAAGTACTAGAACCGAGTCTAACAGTGTCAGTTTCCGTAAGAACTTGTGGTAAAACATATTTGTATCACTCGTTGTAGTGGAGAGTTAGAGATAACTCAGTGTTGGCACTAGTTTTGTGTCTATCACTAGTAGGTTCACCCAGGTGTGTCAGCCAGAACACCACTTAAGGCCAAAGGTCCAGAATAGAGGAAATGAGGAGCTAAGATGAGGCTTGACTTCTTTACTTATTTAGGCAGACATACAGACATTTGTCTGTGTGTGGTTTTTCCCTCTGATTTATGACGTCATCCAAACCACGTGGGTTAGCCCCTTCCCAATAGAGAACCGCAGTGACGCGTCCTAAAACCCGGAAGTAAGTTAGCATTTTTACCATGTCCGGTTCCTTCGATAAAA